CTACATTCATTTTGTCTCACTGATATCTAGATATAAAATATACTCAGTTTGCAAGTTTAAAAAAAAAAAGCAAAAAAAAAGCTCTACCAGCTTCACCAACTCAACTGGCCTATAGCAATCAAACTGGATTTCTTCCATCTGAAAAAACATTATATGTGCAGCCCTTATGCTTTTCATGTAACCTTGTTTTCTTCAGATTATATCATTAGTGACATTTGAACAAAACTTACTTACTTACCATGGGCTTTCAGTCAAGGTGGGTTCTTTCCATCTTAAGCATCATCACAACAGAAACTAAATTGGGTCATCTTATTTTTTTATGATTAAGATACTGTTTATTTCTAAGAGGCAACTAGATCACAGTGTTGAGTACAGCATATCAACCTATAGCCAGATCCTCAGCTGGTTTAAATCAGTACAGCTCCACTCCAAAAATGTGCATTCACATTTTTCTATGCTCAAATCTGGAGGCCATTCTTGAAAATCTGTCCTTAAATTCTTAATACAAAGACTCGCCACTGCACCTCTTCCTAGGCTTGTTTGATAGTGAATAAGGGTTGACAGAGCTAAGGGTCCAGTAATACCTTTAGTATATATTGTATTGCTTAGTTATAGATAATTGAAAGGGGCAAGAAAGCCTGCCTTGGTTTTACAGAAAAACTTTAATAGATCATAATATCCACAGTGAAAAGCAGAACTGAGAGTATATAAACAAGTTCTAAGACAGGGATAGTCTATTTTTTTGACAAGGTCTAAAATTTCTTGGTCAAGGTATATTCAAGCTTCAGACTCCAGAGAAATATAAAAAACAACAACAATTAAATAAAAAGATTTCCGGGTCTAAGTCAAAAGCATCTGGTGATCCAAATTTGGCCCACAGTCCACCTATTAACTACCCCTGTTCTAGGGTTTTGGATTAATGGTTTATAAAGTGTTAACAGGGTCTCTGAAACACAGATTAGCCCAGAGTGCCTTAACTGGAAACATATTTCACTCAGTTGCAAGAACACTTCTAAAACCCACTATGTTTTCTTTAAGGAAAATGAGTATCATTCTCTATTAAAATTAAGAATGTAGGCAAACCATTTATTCTATTAGTTGCATAAGAAACAGCAAGTTTCAACATCCTAATATAAACTGTTGAAGCTTTACACAATTGAGGAAAGGATATGCACTGTATCACAAACAACTAGTCTACTCACAGGACGATGATCAGTAAACAAGTTTTGGAACATAATCTCAGTCCCCGATAGCTACAAACATAATTCAGAACGCATAACAGATGCACAGCAGGATAACAACTAAAAATTATTGAAGATACCCCATAATGTATAAGAAGAGATTCATAGCACTGGATATTGAACTTCGGCATCAGAATGTCAAAACAAAAATGAAATTTACAATTAGTCAATAATCATGCCTTCTAGTTATGGTTGGATAAGGCTGAAATGGACAGATGACCATAGTCAACATTTACTCTTGATGTGGGGTGGTTTTGGTCAACTTTGGCTTGTTTTTAGAACCAATTCCAAGACTCCCCAAAATATTTTTTAAAAAAAAACTTCTAAATTATATTTGTAGAGAGATTAAACTGACAAAAAGTAATTGTTACCTGAAACTCTATTTGCCCTGTTCTTTTATTTTCAGTTTTCAAACAAACATCAAGGGTAAAATCCTAGTATACCAGAAATCAGTGCACGTTTTGCCACTGATCATCATGGAACCAGGATCTGGCCTCATGTATCTTTTATTTTTATTTTATAAACCATCAAATGTTTCAGTCTGTGGGGATTTTCATAACACACATTGGTATAGGAAACAGTCTTTTACCACAGAGACCCAGCCACAGCAGCTCTGTCAACTCTTGTCATTGAAAACCATAAATAACCGACCAATCCTGGCGTACATTGTGAAACCACTACCCCAATCATGTACCTGCTGTGGTTTTTCGCTTTGAAATCTAGTTGACATGGAAAGATTGCAGACAGCTACATTCCCCAGGGCCACTGACTAGTTCTTTTCAGTCAGGTGAGTGGGGTGGGGAAATCATGTTTTTTTATAAAAATAACTCCACCACACAGCCACAAAACCATATACTCAAACTGTGTACATTTTTAGTACGATTGCTTAACTTGCATGCAATTTGGCCATGATCAGTGATGGAGCACAGTCTGAGTTCAGCAAATTAATTGCTATGCACTTGACTAATGGAAAGCTTACATATAATTTAATACTTTGTATTATATCAGGGATCTTTTCTCTGTTTCCATCTAATTTGGTAAAAGACTCTGAACACTCAAAGAAAATGTCTTCAAATAAGAATGATCAAAAACAGAAAAATCTCTGAAGTCCTATTCAAGGGAATAAAAAAAAATTTTATATAAGAATGCAGTAGACAAATATAAAACCAACTCATATGAATCTTTAGTATGTGCTTTACATCTTTATCTGCTAACAAAAAGCAATATACAAGAGCTAGGTATTATTACATAAAACACTGAGATCAACTTAAAATCCTGAAACTCTGAAATACAGTTCAGTTAAGACATTGGTTGTTGGGTTTTCTAGCTCTTATTTGTGAAGTTCTGCAACTGATATGTCAAGAATTTTTTTTTTTTGGGGGGGGGGGCCACAACTTGAGAGACAAGTAGTATAAAGAAGCTTGTGCCTGTATTAGAGAATAGTACTGTCAGAGTTTTGCTGGCTAGACAAGTTAAGGAAGTCACTACATCAGATAGCATACAGGGAAAAAACTGGCAAAAGAAAACTGTCAATATTACTTTAAACTGTGTTCATAAAACAAAATGTATTGATTTTACCCGAGTCCTACTTTAACTTTTAAGACCAAAAAGTGCAGCCCTAATTTTAGATTTGTATATTTTATAAAGCTACATCATAAAAACCTTTTGGTTCTCAGCCTTGTATAATTTTAGTTCAGATATTGTCCCCTCTAGTGGTGACTTAAAACACTGTTCTGAAAAGCAAAGCGGGCTCAGATATTTCTAGGGACAGTACAGTATCAATGTGATTGAAGTACAAGATTTCCAGAGAAACCAACATCATACATAATTCATTTAATTAAAAAGCTTATTATTTGCACTTCCAAAATGGCAATTGGTATAAATATTGTTTGAAAAACTGCACTGGAAGACAAATAATGGGTGTGGAATTTAATTCTTTAGCACAAAGTTGCAAGTAATCTCCAGAGCACTAACTCTGCTCCCTTGTAGTCTGTGAATATTTAATACCATACGTATACACACAAATATATCAAGAGGAACATATGCAAACTTCAGAAAGTGGTATACCAAAACACTCACAGAGATAACAGAATTAGCACTTCCTCTTTATGAACAGTAAGAAACTAACAGCAAAAAAAAAAAAAAAAAAAAAAAAAAAGAGGCAATATTAAATTTAGTTCTCATGAGAACACTCAATGCGTGCAGAGAATAGAATGCTATACATTTCACTCTTTATGTTCTGACAAAAGACCAAATGTTGATCACTCAAAACTCTCTTAGGACCAAGTTCTGCTAACATTACTCTCCCAAAATGTCTGATTTGCATGTTCAGTTTATAAACATATATGCAAAACACCAAGTGCAATAAAGCCCTGTGAATACAGACAACAATTTATAGTACTTGATTCTGGAACAAGATTCTACAAAGTACCTCCTAACCTGCCAATACCCAAATGTGGGACACAGCATGTGACAGAGACTCAAAATGAGGGGAAAAGTATTTCAGGAAAACTTTAAAATGCTCTGAGATTCAGTCATGTAGCATAAATAACTTTCTAAGTTTCTTGATTCTTTATTTCCCATGTAAACAATTTTCAACAATACAAGTCCAAATTTGTGTCGAATGTAGGTATCTTTGGGACGAAAGGTAATGATATCCTTCAAAATGAGGTACAGTTCAGAGGTATGTTTTGCACTAGCCTATTTTCAGTGTCAGGAGAGTGAAGACTAGGATAGTAACTATGAGACTAGAGAAGACTGAGAATTGTGCTGGCTGGAGCCAGTATCATTTAAAAGGAGTGAAGACAATTTTAGTAAATAAAAGAGAGAGTTTGGGGTTAAATAGCATGCAAAGGTAATGTTCTGATCAACTGAAAGTTAGCACTTTTGTAAAACAATATACAGAATTAAACCATTGTCACAGAAGAGGCTGGAGAGGGAAGGACAGAGGAAGCCACTGAAGGATGACTGTCACAGGCCAATCTAAGCAGGACTGACGAAAAACAATTCACACTCTCAAAACAAATACACCCTCAGAAGTTTTACTGAAATAAGGCCTTTCCCCATTTAAAACTAAACAAAGTTGCCCTCAGCTTACTTCAGCCAGGGTCCCAGCAAAGAGAGATCGTGGCTTACCTGAGTCAGATAAAGAAGGACATCATTTACTTCAGCATAGTCCAGAAGAACAATTTCTCTGGCATACTTTCCAACCTCTGGAGTCTCCTCCTTCACCAAGCCCTTCCCACTGATTCTCCTTCCCTTTTCTGGTGATACTAGGCAATTCATTAGTTACCCACACCAGGGTCCATCCCTCTCTCCTGCACATCTATGCAGTAATGGCAGGCAGCTGTGATCTTTCTCCAAGGCAGGAGGAGACCAAAGAGGAAAGAGTGTAAAGAGGGAATAAGCTGCAGGGGGCATACTTTAGAGCCAATCTCCATTTTTCTTGTCCATTACATTAAAGACTGCACCATTTTCTTACTTTATTTAGAAAAGCTCTAACAAACATGGAATCACATCCAATGAGCTGAGCCCTCTGGGCCTAGAGGAAAAGCATCCAGAAGAATCTACTTACTGTTGAGTGGTACTATTTTAAACCATATATAAGTGAGAATGGACATACTTCTGAGCCACTTAGAGATTGAGTCTCAGCCTTAACTTTCTGATCTCAAGTGCCTTGTTTCTTCCTATTTTTTATTTTTAAAGATTATTATAACTGCAGATATCTTTTCTACTGCATTAAAAAAACCAACCAGCATATTTAACAAAAAAAAAAGTTTGTTTTATTCTGAACAGCAGATCAGTCTTTACAATAAAGTCATGATTTTAACTTACAAAGTCAGCATCAGTAATGAATCTTTCCTGAATAGGAAATTTTACCTTTTATCAAATATCAACTTCAAATGTAAACAAAAACTAAAAGCACTCCATTGAGATAACAGAATATATAACAAGAGTCTTCATAGACGACAAATGAATCAATTTACACTTCAGGTCCTTCTCCTCCAGGAACCAGCTGTATAAGAAAAGGACAATTTAAGAGATACAGTATGAAGAAACATAGTACACGTTTGATTTCAAGATTTAAAGTGAGAATTGTCAGATATGGCTTTGTACATATTTATTATTAAACACTACTGAAAATATTTTTACAACAGATGGAAAATTTAAAGTAATACTAGAACATAACACATGTGTACTTTTATAGGTAAACTGACCCAATTTGAACTAAATCACCCCCTAATTCTACTCTTTCAAAGAGCAGCTAAATAATCAGATAAAATGAGTGACATTATAGCTTTTATAAGACAGTGGAATGTTGTGAAACTTCCTGTGCTTGCTAATCTCCTATTCCTCTTAAATTTTCTAGCCTATATTGTGTATCATTTATACCAAGGGTCTCGAACACGTGGCTGGCGGGGCTATTTCCTGCAGTCCGCCAAGTAACCCTTACTCCCCCCCGCCGCGGCCTACCTCCAGGCCAAGGGTGGGCAAACTACAGCCCCCACAGCACAACGTCCCTGCAGCCCGGGGTGGGGGGGAGGCACGCACGCCAGAGGGCTCCGTACATTGCCCTGGCTTCCAGGCACTGCCCCCCACAGCTCCCATTGGCCGGGAACGAGGAACCGCGGCCAATGGGAGCTTCGGGGAGGTACCTGGAGGAGCAGCAAAAGCAGCGCACGGACCCCCCCCCCGGACATGGTTCCAGCTGCTTCCCGGACGGAGTGGGGCCGGGGCCAGGGAGCTTGCCCTGGCCCCAGTGCACACCGCTGCCACCCTGGAGCTACTCTAGGTAAGCGGCGCTAGGCCGGAGCCTGAACCCCTCCTGTATCCCACCCCCCAACTCCCTGCTGCATCCCAACTGCCTGTCCTGAGCCCCCTGCCTGCACCCCAAACCCCTGCTGCACCCCAACTCTCTGCCGCACCCCACACTCCCTCCTTCACCCCAACTCCCTGCCTTGAGCACCCTGCTCCTCAATTCCCTGCCCTGAGCCCACACCCCCTGAGGGCAGGGAGGGGGCAGACTTGGGGTGGGGACTTCGGGGAAGGGGTTGGAATGGGGGCAGGAAAGGGGTGGGAAGAAGTGGGGCAGTGGCGGGGCCTCATGGAAGGGATGGAGTGGGGGCGGGGCCAGCAAGGGGTGTGTGTCAGTAATGCAGCCCTCAGGCCAATGCACTAGTCCTCATATGGCCCTTGTGGTCATTTGAGTTTGAGACCCCTGGTTTATACCATGACTGATTAGTACCTGAGCAGAACATTTACCAGTGTAAATGTTCTCATTTTATATTATGTATTTTAGCCAACAAGTCATGATGGAATAAAACTTTTTCCTCACTCCAGTTGCCACCAGATAAATGCACGCGTAGATGTTTCAGGAATGAGAAACCAAGGAATGTAGGAACATTCAACACAATAAAAAGGAATGTCTAGATAAAAAACTGCTACTAATTTTCTTTTCTTTGGCATTCAGTTGGTGGGAAGATTTTCAGTTTAAAAACACAATAGCACACTTTTAAAAGTAGTTTGCTTCCTAAATGAGGAACAGTTTTTCTGCTCCTGTCGCCTCTTCTTCTTCTTGTGTAGCAGCAACCCAAAATAGAGGTATACAGGTTGGCTGCTCATTTCCAGCTGCTTTTATAAACAGACTTGCTTTGCAATGAAGAGCCTGGACATTCGCAGATGCAGTTGTAACAAATAGGCAAGACAGCACCACGTGCTCTCTTCAGAGTACAGTTTAAGAGCTGATGCTTTAACTCAATAAATATTAAAGAAAGAAATGTAAAAAAGATATAGGAACTATCATTTATTTTACTGACATTTCTCTCTAAGAAAAGAAACAAAAATTGAAGATTTTTTTTCTTTAAAGACAATAGACAAAACGATTATCATGATAGGTATTTATTGTGCAGTCTTTAGTCCTTCAGGCCCTCATCCTACAACACTTAAGCAAGTATTTAGTCCCTCTGATTACAGTGGGCCTTAAGCTACTCTGGTGAAAAATCAGGCCCATACTCTCATAGCAGGCAATAGGAAAAATAAGATATTGGCTGCAGGATCAGACCTACAATAATCAATTACTGCTTCAGCCCTCATTCGCATGCATCAGAAGTATTATGTTTTAAGTTTACTGTACATTAAGATACAACTAAGTTCATGTTTACATTTTCACTTTTGTTTTCAAAATATAACATGGAACATGTGTAATCAAGAAATTTAAGATTAGGATTACAGTATGAAATTTCAAAGGATTATTCTGTCAGAACATGTGTTTAAAATTTAAAATAAATATGAGTTCAATCTTACTTGAATGAATTAGTCAATAACTGAATTCCACATATACTAAAAACCAGTCAAAAACAAGTAGTACACCTGACTTACCATTGTTATGTTATTTCCATTTAGCAAGATCTGATCTAATTTTGTGATTCTTCTTCCTTCAGGTGTGATTTCGCTGATCAAACATTAGGAAGAAAAATATTTAGTATATAAAGTTTACAAAATAAATCTGGATTTGTGGTAAGAGCTGTAGTTACACAAGGCGCTATAATAGGCTGGGTTATTTACCAAGAGTAACACAGAATTTAGATGAATCACAATACAGTTTTGGGACACCCTCCACTGGCCTCAACATATGAAAAAGACAGGTTTCAGAGTAGCAGCCGTGTTAGTCTGTATTCACAAAAAGAAAAGGAGTACTTGTAGGCACCTTAGAGACTAACCAATTTATTTGAGCATAAGCTTTCATGAGCTACATCATGAACTTCATCCGATGAACTGAGCTGTAGCTCACGAAAGCTTATGCTCAAATAAATTTGTTAGTCTCTAAGGTGCCACAAGTCCTCCTTTTCTTTATAAGAAAAAGAGTTTCAACTGGTAACATGAATAACGTTGCAAGATAAGGGAACAAATGCCTTCTTATCCCAGACTACACCTACTTTTTAACTCTTTGTCTATGTGTCATAGCAAACATTAAACTAATGGAGAATTCAACATGGAGTTCAGGGGAAAAAAATCAAGGGTGCCAAACAGGAAAGGTTAAAACATTTAATATGACAAAATGCGTGGCAGCCATTCTGTGAGGCCGACTTCAGTACCCAAAAAAAAAAAAAATTAAAAAATCCTTAACCCGAGTCAACTAACAATGTGAAATCCTAGTAAAGACAAGGCAATTTATAGCCTTCACATGAGCTACCAGGTTGAGTTCAAAAACACTTTGTTTGCAGTGAAGAAGAGGTACAAGATGTTTCACCTTTTGCAAAGGCAATACATCTTTAAGTGCTCTATAGCTGGTTTGCAGATGACCTGTTACCTACCAGTCAGAATAGAGAGCCAAACCACAAAGCCTGGATACTGGTGTGCTAAGCACACTCAGCACCTGACTTTGCCACCTGCCACACACAGCTATTTAAGAGCTGGCTGTACAGGATGAATTCCCATTGGATTATTTACAAATAGTTTAAATTTGAAGCCTAAATTACTCAGTTGTGTCAAACCTTTTAAAGAGGTCAAAATGGTTTGCTTCCTAATTCAATATACCTTTTCTGTAAATGGGAAAGAAAAAAAAGCACACAGTAGCCACAAAGAAACAGAGGCAATACTTACAACTCTGTAACATCCTCTAACACCATATCTGAAGTCTACCGTCAAGGAAAACAAAAAACTAAAATATCCTTGATTTAATAACTTTACCTGTATTTTCATTTTATAAAAATGGTGTGACCTAATTTTTAAAATAATTTCAGCTAGTGTGGCATATTTATCCATGCAAGATGTAGAAGCATACATTCTAGCCACCTAATTCAAAATATCCAACCAAACAGATAAATAATTACGCTTATTCTAAAAAGAAAATTGGTAAATAGCAAATATTCCATTTAAAGGATACTGACGAAGTCATCAAATCCTAGGAGTGTGCCAACAATTTCTTTATCACTCTTCATCACAATGTGAATACGTGAACCTATACACTTGTCCACAAGCTCTGTAAATCAGAAAATATTTTATACAAGATTACAATCTAAATTTAAACATATACTAAAGTCATCTTTTTAACACACTCCTTTTAAAGAATGTGGCAAAATTGTACACATTCAAAATTATTGCCAAGAATACTCAAATGTATATGCAAAAATAGTTTTTATTTGTATTATCTATTATACATAAGGTGCATCCTAAAATATCCGTAAAACACCTAGAACACATTGAGCACTATCTCTCTCTCTCTATATATATATATATCGGCTTAGCAGAATTTAATTTTCACTTTTATAATTTTGACAGATGTTTATTTTTAAGCTTTTTATCTATATTTTCACAGCTTTGCAAAATTATGGGCTTTAAGCATTTCCCCTCACGCCAATTTTTAATCCATTTAAATTTTCACAGCTACAGTAAATTATGGAGGATCTGACAATTATTTAATGACAGACACTGAAATTCAAAAACTTAAAGCTTTATAATGTAAAAATAAATTGTCAAAATATACAAATATCCTTATATTAAACTCTAATAAGTTCTCAAGCAACATTTTTCTTACTTTGCCCTTGTACATTTAAAGTATCGATGGAAATATTTTTTTCATAAGTTTGTGTACAGTGAAATCAATTTTTACCAATATTTAGGGATAAAAATATAATCCTCCCAAGCTTAAGTATGTAGCAACTGACTTCGTAGTGAAGGTAGAATATTATTATTACTGTTCATCATCTGTTTTGGTCGTGCCCACAATGTGATAGGCACTTTCCGGGTATATCAATAATTTACATTTTAGGAACCTTCAACACATTTTCTGTCTGTATCCTATTAATCATAAACCATTTTTTCTTAATGTTCCTGATTCTAGGAAATCTTTGGGAGAAATATAATCTTACATAAGGAAAAGTTAATTTGAGGAAAAATATTTATTTCTGTTGGAGAAACTAACCAACCAACCATTGGTCAGCTGCCAAGAGATTGCTCACCGAGGTTACTTTTCCTCCCCCAGCAACACACTGTTTTTTGACATCACCATCTCTTTGCTTGAAAGAACGTTCCCAGAACAGTTAAGAAAGTGCATTTTGCAGATTCAGTTTATTAAATGTTAAAAGAAAAGTTGCAAATTGTTTTGGTACTATACACAGTAGAACCTCAAAGTTACAAACACTTCAGGAAGGGAGATTGTTCATAACTCTGAAATGTTTGTAACTCTCAACAAAATGTTATGGTTGTTCTTTCAAAAGTTTACAACTGAACACTGACTTAATATAGCTTTGAAACTTTACTATTAAGAAGAAAAATGCTGCTTTCCTTTTTTTTTTTTTTTTTTAAGTAGTTTACATTTAACACAGTACTCTACTGTATTTGGCGTTTTTCTTGTTTTGTTTTTGTCTCTGCTGCTGCCTGATTGTATACTTCTGGTTCCAAATTAGGTGTGTGACTGACTGGTCAGTTTGCAACTCTGAGGTTCTTCTGTAGTCACTCCACCCTCCTGTAACGACGCGTATGAGTATGTCTACACTAGAAATGCTACAATAACACAGCTGCAGCATAGAGACTTACAGCAACTGAAGGGGTTTTCTTACATTGTTATAGTAAATCCACTTCTCTGTGAGGCTGTAGCTAGGTCAATGGAAGAATTCTTCTGTTGATCTAGCACTGTCTCTACAATGGGGTTCAGGTTGGCTTAACTCTCTCGCCAGGGCTGTGACTATTTCACACCCCAAACAGTATAGCTAGGTTGACCTAAGTTTTAAGGGCAGACCAGGCGTAAGTCACTTAAAAAAAAAAAATATATAACATGGAGACAAGAGAGTTCTCTTACTTGGCCATTAACAAAAGCCTAAACCCTGCATCAGATTCACACTGGGAAATCCCTTTGCCCATGCAGAGCCCTACTTATATCAATGGGTATATCTCACTCGAAAAAAAAAAAGTGTACACTTAACTCCAGTTAAACTAGCAGTGAACTCTTGGCAACTCAGTATTTAACTCTGGCTAGCAGTTTCAATTAAAGGTTATAGAGGAACCTGGGGTTCAACTCAAACTAGTCTGGTCTACACTAGAAAATTAGGTCCATTTAAGTACTTTGGTCTGCAGCGTGAAAAATCCACACCCCTGAGCAGCATTAAGGCAACCTAAGTCCATTGACCTAGCTACCGCCTCTCAGGGCAAGTCTACACTGCCACTTACATTGATATTGCTTATGTTTCTTAGGGGTGTGAAAAAACCTGTAATTTGCATCGCTCAGTGACCTAAGCACTGTCCACACCAGTGCTATGACAGTGGGAAAGACTCTCCCACCGACACAGCTTCCGCCTCTCGCGAAGGTGGAGTAATTATGCCACTGGGAGAGCTCTCTCAGCAGTGCAGATGCATCAGAGCAGCTGTGCCAACGTAGCTTTTAGTTAGGGCTAGTCTACGCTGGCAGTGCTTTAACATGGTTTGTGTAGTCAGGGCAGAGTACTGGGAGAGAGCTCTCCCACCACTCTAAATAACCACCTCCACAAGGGGCGTGGCTCCCTGCGCTGGTGCACTGTCTACACTGGCGCTTTACAACACTGAACCTTGCTGCACTGGGGGGGGGGGGGGGTAGGGTGTTTTTTTTCACATCCCCTAAGTGAGAAAGTTGTAGCACTATAAAGTGCCAGTGTAGACAAGCCCTTAGACTAGCCCTCAGGAAGGTGGTTTAACTACAGCGATGGGAGAACCCCTCCCGTTGGGATAGGTAGTGTCCACTCTGAAGCGTTTTAAGTGTAGACAAGTGCTGAATTGATGAGTCTTCAGGAAGGTCTCTGCACGTGTAGCTGGGGGTATGATTCCCCAACGGGTACAGAGACAGTTGCACTAAATCTAAACAAGTTAAAATTGGAGCGTAGCCCACAGCCGGGCACCCCACAGACGCTGTCTGGGGACTCCGACTGCTACAGCGAGGGAGCTGGGCCAGAGCTGGCGGCTGGGTCTCCTCGAGCTGGGAATCGCGGCCCCACTGCCGGAGGAGCCGGTCTGCCCCTCACGGCTAGCGGCGGCATCCGAGTTAAGAACATGCTTTTGTAGGGAAGAGGAGGCACTGCAGACACGCCGGATTGGAGGGGGGCTCCAGCAACAACCACCCCCACCCCGGCAGGGCCATCCCTAGCTATTCTGGGGCCCTATGCAGCCCCCCTTCGGGTGGGGGCAGGCCCCAGGCCTCCGCGGGGGGGTGGGGCGCTGGCTTCCGGGGCAGGAGGGAACCACCGCGCAGCACTCACCGGCGGCGGGGCTGGGTTGCTGCACTTCCCGCCGCCGGTTGAGAGCAGGCCCAGACCTGCTGCAGAGCTCAGGGGCGGGAGCCCTGGGGAAGCGCCGGAGCAGGGGCGGGAGCAGCACCCGACGCGCTCAGGAAGGGAGCCCGAGACCGCCCCTCCCGCCAGCCTCCCCGACCCCGGACCGGAGAAGCCCAGCACCCCGCTGTCCCTGGGCGGGGGGGCGCTAGTTACCGAGCGGCAGGAGCTGAGACGGGTTGGTCGTCGCGTTGGCCGCCATCTTGAAACCAGACCTCACCAATCGCAGCTATCGGAAGAGAGGGCTTCAGCTCCCTCCGCCAGCAGCCCTGGCCAATGGATGGCAGAGCAATCGGGCGGCTGCCGCTCCGAGGCTCCGGCTGCAGCGGGGCAGGGCCTGAGTGGCAGAGCTGCTGAGCACTGCGCCGCCGCCACCTCCTTCCAGATTCAATGGAAAACGCAGGGGCTTTGACAATGAGGCTCCAAATTAGGGTTGGCTCCTGTCCAGGCTCTCCCAGGAGAGTCCCTTTTTGGTGGTAGCTGCCCTGGGAAATCCGCAAAGGTGCTGGATATACCCTGCCACCAGCTGTCCGGTTCGATGGGCTCCGGGACCTCCTGGATGGCCCAGGTTTTTGTTCCGCACGGGTGGCAATGCTACATCAAATACTCAGGCCTGGTCTACGCTAGGAATTTCCATTGGTATAGCTACATCTCTCAATCCACACCCCGAGAGACGTATCTAAACTGACTTAAACCCCCCCAGTGTGGACAGCACTAGGTTGACAGAAGAATTCTAGCAACCACCTCTCGGGGAGGTGGTGTAGGCAAGGCCTAAACAAAAATGTCACTGTGGCCTTAACTCTGCACCTGTTAGCATCAATACCATATTATAACAGAGTGCCAGCTCTGCTCTGAGTTTAGGTTAAGCTTCACTTTCCGTTTAAAAGTTGGCTCTTCTAAGTGGCCTAAAATTCCTGTGCTTACTCAGATTGGCTTGAAATTTGGTGTGCCTCATGTGGTTCTCTGTAATGTTACTGGTACAAATTTGGGATCATTTGAGTATGGGGTTCCTGAGATACAGCATCTACTATTTACAAAATCAACTAATTCTTCCAACTTTTTTGCCCTCATCTAGGGCTGAGACTATGGCTCTGATCCTCCCTAACCTGTCACTCGGGATTTATCTCAGCTAGTGGATGGCACCCGCTGCCCCTCTGGGACGGTTATCTTGAAGAAGTTATTTGGAGTTGTTGCAAAAGTAGGTGGAGCCACAAAGAATGAAATGTGCACATGCCCATGCAGCAAAACTAGGACCCTGCTGAAGCAAGATGGTTCCCAGGTAGGCTGTTGCTTCAACAGCTGGGTAGTTCAAAGGAATATGCTGTGGCTATTGAACCTAAGCTGCACCCATGCGCTGTGAATTTAAACTCTGCCTTTGTCAGAAATCTAAGAATGATCAGTGGGAATGTTACTACCATTTGTCTGCATCAAAGTGGTTTTATACTTTTGGGAAATGGGCTCTGAGTAATACAGCTATTTTAGAAGTGACTCCATTTTCTGGAGGGATCCTCTCCCTGACCCTCTTATGTGAGCTGACATTTGGAGGAGCCATGCCCCTCTGAGGGAGTCTGAGCCCCTTCCCCTCCCCCCTCATGTGAGACCCTCTCCTTAACTCCCTTCTGCTTCTGTGTGTCCAGATCGGGGAGGACGCTACCCCTCTGGATGGGGAGCTGAGAACAGGAACGTTTGGAGCACATGTGGAGGTGAAGAGTTGAGAACTGACAACATGCTTAGTGCATAGGACAGGTTCACAAGTACTGACATTGAGGAGCGGCATGAGAACACCGACTGAGTTGAATGGTGCAGTTCATACATCTCAGACCTACTGTTTCTAGCTGTATTCATCTCCATGGGATGTTCTCATTCTGCTGAGAAAATCTAATTGAGATGAATGGGCTACTTCTCACCTCTCAGCCTCTGTGCTGCAGATGGATAGGGAGAGGCCGCTCCCCATATACTGGGCCCAGCTTTGAGGTAGGACTCTGCATCTCCATTCTTCTGCCCCTTGCTGTCTCTGACTGGTATAGGCACACTTCACAGCCCCACAACTTTTCCCACCTCTCCGTGGCCCCTCCAAGCTTATGAGAGGCATGGGGTGGCAAGGAGGAAAGTTGAGTTGGGGGTGCAGGGGGAAAGGCTCAAAGTGAATCATTCTTACTTGATCAATTCCAGTGGGGCTATTGCCAACTCCTGGGAGAGCAGAGTGAAGACTGTGTTGCATGGGGAAGCATAACTTTGTATTTCCTAATTTTCACATTTGTGTCACCTTAAGTTTTCATTTCTTGGTTTTCAGAAGCTTAAGTTATGCATTCTACACATTCTGTTAGGGCACCAGAGACCACTGGACAACCTTAACTCTGCGTTAGCCAAGTTTTTTGGTCATTTAATTTGGTTAGCACTAACAACATGCATGTACACAAACTATGTGTTTGTATAAAGCAAGTTTTGACTTCCTCATACTCTGTAGAACATGCAGACATACTATTGAACTCCACTCTCTGCTATCACTAACTTCCTTGTCCTTCCTCCCCTCCATTTCCCTTGTATGCTGGTGGCTGTCTCACCAGTCCAAAGAGGAATGAATGACACACACAAGTCTATTTCAGGCCCTTATCTCAGGGCACAATTTGTTGTTTAAACACAAAACTCAAAGAATTCCCCTGACCAACATAGACTAGCTCTCAGAGGCTTTTTCCTGACCAGCCTCCCACTCTGTAGAACAATGCTCACAACTCTCCTTTCTGCTCACTATCTGCTCTTCAATTCCAGAAGGCAATTTTTTTGTTTTTTCACATGCTGTCCATTATGTGGCCCTTTTGCTCTCATTTCATTCATCTGGGGAGGTGAGTTAAGCCTGGCACAGGTGCAGCTGAGTCCCAACTCCTCTAAAAGCCAGCTCACCCTGTGATATGCCCTATCTCCACACATATAATTTGTCTAAACTAGAACCAAATACAAATTCTACGCTAATTAATTCTGCAAATGGTCACACTACTAGCAAATAAACAGAATTACGTGCAAAGGTATATTCCAAAGTCGTTTGCAGTGGAAAAGCTGAAGATAAAATTCTGCTGAATTGAAGCCTTTATCTGAGAAATAGAAATGTATGTTTGAGACTTCAACGAAGAGAATATTATAGTGGATGTGGAAATGTGTTTCTAATCGGAGAAATTTGATTTAAAGCATATCCATTAAAGAAGCGTCACGGCAAATAAAAAAGGGTTGGCAATTCCTGGTTGTCATTAGTGAAGAATGCAGTAACAGATAAAGAAAGTTCCTCTAATTATTGTGCCAATGGTATAGTAGCAGTCAATATTATTAAAATATGACAGCTAACTATAAGAGGGCTATGGTTAACATATGGTTAATTGTGTTGTTTGTATAATAGCTATGCACAGAGTGAGTAAATTCCATAAGGAAGGTGCACTTTGCATGTGTCTGTGACTGTTCCAACTGTGTATATCACAGCATCCACCTCCCTTCCTCTTTCATAAGTATACAGGTACAAAATGAATAGGGCAAGCTGCAGAATATGCAGAGAATATGGCAAGCAAGTTGCTTTAAAATATATCAGCAGGCTCCCTGTTTTATTACATGACCTGGCTTTTTGCAGAAGAATCTTTTATCCTTTCTATTGCCTCACATAGCAGGAAAGAGAATTTTGAACAATGAAAAAAAATCTCATTCGGAAACAATAAGTAGGATTTATCCAATGTTTACATCACAAAATGCATAGTAGTGAGAGCGGTTTCAAACTTCGTTTCTTTGCTGTACTGCATATGAAAAGTAGGTATTCCCCTGCCCTTTTTATAGTATTGAGTGATGTAGCTCATCACTGAAGGAGACAGTGGCTAATATTTCATATCACTTTTCTTTCTTGAAATTATACTAACAATCAAAAAAGTGAGACAGAAAAGGCCTAATAACTAATCATTTGGCTGCCAGGGCAGATTGTCCCTACAGACTTTTGTTCCCTAAAGTATATTTTATATATAATAGAACTTCTGTTGAAGCTAAGAAATATTATGTAATTATAGGCTTTGATCTATAGTTATTGTCTGAGCCCTTGAGTATTGTGTTAATGCTGAGATTTTCCTGAAGCATTTTTTTTAATGCTTTTAGAAAGAGAGTCCTTTCATCTGATTTCCACAAAGAAGCTTAATGACTGAGAGCCTGTGTGACGCTCTGTACCTCGGGGAAATACTCTACACGCCCATGTTCATCTTTATAAAATGATTGTGTGGTATCCAATGCAAAGTTTGTCATGTTGGGTGTCTTCAGAAGGCTCATGATGCAGGCAAAAACTCTCCAAGAGCTGAGAGGCAGTTCATACCTCATCAGGGCACGTGTGGGACAAACCTAGCCCAGCCTCACAGGAACAAAGGACACTGGCCTAGACATCAACAAAATAATCTGTTGGACTCTTGAGGGAGTCACCCCCCTCTTTCTTTGGTCAGTTTGGGACTGTCATGAGGTAATGCTCACCTGACTCTGGGATGGGGGTGGGGGGCAAAGCCAAGAGTGAAGAAAGGACATGATAAAAGGGAGAGACATTTGCCATGCTCTCTCTCTCTCTCTCTCTTCCGTCTACACCTACAGACCCCGCACCAAGCGACTGAAGCGCTGATCAAAGGGGAGAGCCTGGCTGAAGAGCAACCAGCCAGTCTGTGGTGAGAAGCATCTAAGTTTGTAAGGGCATTGAAAGTGTTACGGTCAGCTTAGAATGCGTTTTGCTTTTATTTCATTTGACCAAGGCTGACTTGTTATGCTTTGACTTATAATCACTTAAAATCGATCTTTGATATTAATAAAGCTGTTTGTTTATTCTACCTGAAGGAGTGCGTTTGGTTTGAAGCATGTCAGAAACTCCCCTTGGGATACCAAGCCTGGTACATATCAATTTCTTTGTTAAATTGATAAAGTCATATAAGCTTGTAGCGTCCAGCGGGCATAACTGCACACTGCAAAATGGAGATTCCTAGGGTTGTGTCTGGGACTGGAGATATTGGCTAGTGTCATTTGGTTGACAATCCAAGGAGCAGCTTACATGCCAGAAGCTGTGCGTGAACAGCCCGGGAGTGGGGGTTCTCACAACACAGCAGGGTAAGGCTGGCTCCCAGAGTCAAGGACTGGAGTGACCTAACAGATCACTGGTCCAGATAACACCAGAGGGGACCGTCACAATGATTCTGTGTCATTCCTATTTGGTATTGGGGGGAAAAACAATCTGTGTTTCATGTCAAACCAAGGGAATTTACTTGTCAAATTGAAAGAGAGCAATGGACAAGTCAGAATTTCTGCAGCAAGGAAGTTGGTAGCACTGCTGTATGACCACAGCAAGGGGGAAAAAAGAACCAAAGGGACCTGAATTACTTGTGCTTCAACCTAGCCAGCATGAAGGATAAGTTTCTGGCCAAACTCCCACCATGTGAGGACACTTTTGAAGATTATGTCAAAACATCTTGGCAAACAAAGATTTGGATGTCTTCACACGTTGGTAAACAAGATGTTGGATCACCATTGCAACATGGATGGGAAAATGTGGATGATTAATTACTTCCTGTATTCTTCAAGGGCCCAATCGCTTCTGAGCTTCTTCAAGACCTTATTTGTGCCTGTACGGGTAGGGGCTTGCTGCACAATCAACTTTGTCTGTAGTCTTTCCAGCACAGAATTATGTACATGCTAAGTTCAAGGCAATGAAAACCGTGGAAACCCATGCACTCTCAACAGAGATCATGATGATGATAATGATGTTAACTAGAAATGTCACCGGTCTTATTATTTTTCAGTGATTCCTGTACACATTGATTATTTGTTTATGTTTTATCCTTTGGATAGCTGCTGTGGTGCGTTGAGCTCACAAAGAAACCCAGTTGTATGCCTTGAAATAAGATATAGCATCAGCCACTTAAAATAAATGACTGCAACTATTTCAGAGTGGTCATTTCAACCTGTTGAGGATGTCACTGTTTACCCCCGTTTTTACAGCAACGACTTGACAGCTCGTCCCCGTGCCTCATCTGAAAGTAGACAGAATAGGCTTCCAAAGGATGTAGGGGGTGTGTGTGTGTGTGTGTATGTAGGCGGGAGGTACAGTACGGCCACCAAATGGGTGTGGTATCACAAGCCGCTGGCCCTGCAGCCCCCGTCCTTCTCCAGCATGTGAAGACGAGAGAGAGAGCGGGAGCAGGATGGAAGGAAGGAGAAGGAGAGAAACGAAGGAGAAGAGGAAGGCGAGGAAAGGGCCAGGCAGCAGCTGGAAGGGCAGAAGGTCTCGCAGCAGGAGGCAGGCTGCTCTGCGCCGCCCCCGCCCTGCTCCACCCCCGGCGGGGCGGGCCGGGCCGGCTGCGGCGCTGCGGAAGCGGAGGAGGGCGGCACAGGCAAGGAGAGCGGAGCGGCCCTGGCCGGCTCGGGGCTTATTCCGTGTCGGCCCCGGCGCGGGGGAGGCGGGGCGCGCAGAGGAGCCCGGCCCGCTGTAAACACCCTCCCGAGAGGCCGCCGCGGGGCTCCATGGAGACGCAGGGGAAGCCCCCGCCGCCCGGCAGCCAGCGGGGGCCGGTGCTGCACATCGTGGTGGTCGGGTTCCACCACAAGAAGGGCTGCCAGGTGAGGGGAGAGGCCCGGGCGCACCCGCCCCTGCCCCCTCCCTCCGGCCTGCTTGCTTCCTGCCCTGTGCTTCCTCCTCCTCCCCCTTCCCCACAGCCTCCCTCCTTCGCCTTTCACCCTTTCCTCCCCCCGCCCCCCTCCGGCTTTCACCTCTGTTCACCCCCTTCCGACAACATCTGCTTATCTCCCCAGCCTTTTCTTCCCCGTCTTCAGTTCTTTATCTGCTCCCCTCCTACCCTGTGTGCCTTCCTCCATCCTTCTGCCCTGCCCTACGCACATCTTCCTTTCCCTTCATCTTCCTACCCCACAGCTAACCCCCTCTGCTTCTGGGTCCCTCTTCCTGTGTCTGTGCTTGTGTGTTTCATCTTTCAGCACCAGGATGAAAGATAAAAGTGTGCCTGCATTATTGTTATTTTTGGCAGGGGTCATTTGCTGGGTGTCTCACACTGCGGGGGAGGAGGGGTGACCATATGAATGAGATTTGGAGGTTTCACTCATTTATTGAAAATCTTGGTTGACAAATACAGCAAAATCCTTTCATCACCAAAGAGACTTTTAATGCTATCCCTAGAACTAATTTGGGTTCCTGATTTCTGTCACCCTTCCTTCCTTGAGTAGTACTTACTTTGGTGAGCAGTCCCATAGAGTTTAGTGTGAGTACTTCTGTGAGGTTGGTACTCCCCAGCGTGAATAAGGGTGATAAAATTGGGGCCCCAAAGGAGGGAGACTCCCCCAGATGCATGGGATTTAACAGGTCTGTTAGTTCTGTGCATTAATTATTTGTTATTTTTCAGTTCCATGTACCATACTGGTTTCTTTCTCTTTCTCTCATGCACCCTCCTCTCCCCCTCCCCTTCAATTGTAGAGATTGGTTATGACGGTACATACGACATCTAGGTCCTACGGTTCTGGGTTTTCTTGTTGGCTGCTCAGTGCTTTTTTTCAGTGTGTATGCTTGAATATTTTTTTTTTTCAAAAAGATATTCTAGTTGAAACCAATACAAAACTTTTGTGGGTGAGGCTGCATTTGCTCTGACTGGCCTCTGAGAAGAATTAGTCCTTAGAGAAGCAATGACTCAGTTTGCTTAATTGGTAAATGTTGGCTATACCAAGGTTAATATTTATTCTGATGGATAAATGATTTTCTCTAATTTCAGACTTAAGGACTTTTTTCTGAGGATAAAGTGATCTTAAACAGAGTTGGCAGAATAGGATTTGACTATGCAGACAAAAATATTTTAAACTAAAATAGCTATTTACAATAATAGATACGGACCAGGAATGGGCTATAGGGGATGGGCATGTCCCAAAAGGTAAAGAAAGAGATTTAAAAAACAGTATTGGAACAGATAAGCATTTATAAATGGAGGACAGCTTAAAAAAATAAGAGTTGAGTAAATTCTAGCTTACTCCACCTTCTGCCTCTGATAGCCCAATATGTCACTGCAACATCACAGGCATACCCTTAACAAAAGGATAAATAGTTCAGTGGCTTCAGAATATTAAGCTTGTATTAAATGTTAGGTATGTATATCCTTCTTCTCCGCTATTTTATGATTTTTTTTTTTTACAGTTGTTTAATGGGGACTGTAAGGGGAAAGAGCATCATCCTTTATACTCCTTGAATTCTCTTACTTCTCCCCTTACCTTTTTCAGAGCAATGATGCAGTGCAGGACTTTGGTCCAAACCTGTGTGGTATTTTGGCCTGTGCCATAAAGCAATGACTGTTTGTTCATCTTTTGCATTGTCTTGTTCCATTGTTTAACTAAAAGAGCTTTTTTATCATGGTATTTAAATTTCTAAGGTCTGTATGATCGCTGGAGTCTGGAATGTCTCTTGTAGATGCTTTTGGGTATCAAAAGGGAGAATCAACATAAATGGCATGTTCAGAGTTGCTTCTCTTGTTGTCTCCCTGTCAAGACAGACAGTGCTATGTCCAGATTTGCAATCCAGCAATTGGCAGACATTACTACATTGCATAACAGTGTTAAATGGCCTAAAGCTGAATTACTGTTGCCCTGTAATGTACATTTGTTTACTGATTTTTAAAGTGAAGTTAGGTTGGTGAGATTAGTTTAGATATATCTCATCTCAACTCTTAAAATCCTGGACAACCTCTCTCATCTCTACTCCCAGCAAAAAACTCTTAAATAGTGCTGTCTTTTGTTTGTTACCTAAACAGTCATCAAATTAGGCTGCATTATCTTTATCTGCAGTGAGAGCCATAGTGAGACTATTTCTACTGAGTAAAAGATTTCCAAAGCTCAGTCAGTAGTTATAGTAAGCATTTTTTCAGTTATATTGTGAACTCTTGTTATGTCCATGAAAGTTATTAATGGTTTTTCTTAACACAAACAGTTCTATCATTCTTTTTGTCCATTTTTTTCCCCCTCCTTCGCATTTTCTCTCATATTCACACTCTTTACAGGTTGCAATTTACCGTGAAAGTGATAACTGTTCTGTAGGCAATTTATTTTTGGCAGCATATTTGGGGCGGGGAAATGAATTTTGTATTTCTGAACTGTTGCTGCTTGACACATAGAGTATTCCCTCATCCGTTTATCTACAGGACTGATTCAGCATGGACAATGGCATTGCAAGGTTCCCTACTCCATCAGTTTATGTCCATGCTGTCTTGGAAGGATCATTTCTAAAAATGAGAGTATAGTTCAGTCTCTGTGCCTATGCGATCTTTGGCCTCTGCTGAGACTCCTCAACAAGGATACCAGTTGTGATGGTGTGTTCTGTGATGTGGATGATTATTATCTGAGGATTGGTCTGAAGCCACCAGCTCATTTCATTAAGGCACCAAAGACCCATTGTTAATATTTTGGGATACGTTCTGAAACCACACAGTAGGGTAGGTAGAAAACAAAACAAAAAAGAAAAACTCATAGAACTCCTCCTCTGATCTTACTAACAATGGCTGAAGCTTAAAAGCATTCATCTAGCACAAGCTCTGCTCACTGGAGAAACTTTTCAAGTACTATGATCTGTGAGGTTCTTTTATGTTTTTTCAGAAAATTCATATAAAATTGAATCTCTTTGCAAATCTTGGTGTTATGCTGAAATACATTGGCACCTCTTAGTTGACTGTCCTTCAGTCTAAAGTAATCTCTTTTTGGTAGAAATTAAAATCTGTAATGCAAAACTGCTGCCTGTGTAGATGTACATTTTATAGATATAACACTTGGCATATATATATTCTGGATTCTTTGTGTATGATTATTAATAGATAGCAAAAGTAATGGGACCTTTATGTGCTCTGAGGATAGACATTTTAATTAGATTGGAATTGCTCTGTATAGATATCTTTTGATTACCTAAGTGTCTGTCTACTCCCGTTACCCTTGTTCAGGAATAGGAAGATAAATATAGGAAAAGTTAAGCTATATAGAATAGAAATGTAATTTATGTTAAAGATAATGCTGTAAATATTTTTTTTCTGGGTGTATTTTATTTTTTTCTAAAATTTTGTACAGAACCACGACTAGTTGTACATGAAAATCATTTATTTGGTGATTGTATAAAAAACCTCAGAGCATCAGCCCATTTGACATGATTTTATAGTGTGAGCTTATGAGGTTAACTTGTAATTTTTGCAACGCTCTTGTCTAAGCTAATTCATCTTGTGTTTTCTTCTGGGTAAAGCTGGCTTATATAACATGAGACAAATATTTACAACACATGAAATAGAGTGTTTGCTGAATAACTAGAGAAAGCTGACAGTTACATTTTCTGGGTAGTTGTGCAAATTTCAGAATTGCCACTGACCATTGAGATAGACTTGCAGTGTGTAGAAGCAGCATGAAATCAAGAATCCTGATTTCAAGAACAGATCATGGGCATCTCTCAGGCTAGTAGAGTTTAAGCATGTTGAGGAGCCGTATGTTCAGTTTCTCTGTAGCAGCAGGCATCTAAGTATACTGCTGGTTTAGCATCCATTATTGACTACTTTTGTAGTGACATTGATGAAATATTCAGAAAGAGCTACTTACCATACCTCCTCACCACAAAGAAGATGTGGATATGATAATGACTTCTTAGAATGGGAAGAAGACACTGTCTTGGAGACTAGATCCCTCTGGTATTTGATATGTTCTGCAGCAATACATTAAGAAAGGCGATAATCTATTTGAATACTGTGCTATGATGGATTTCTGTGCAGCACTTACGGGATGAGTCTACACAGCGAGCAGCATTGAGTCTCAGGGCCCGGGTCATCATCAAACTCAGGCTTTCATAGACTTTAAGGTTAGAAGGGACCATTATGATCATCTAGTCTGACCTCCTGCACAACGCAGGCCACAGAATCTCACCCACCCAATCCTGTGACAAACCCCTGACCTATGTCTGAGCTATTGAAGTCCTCAACTCGTGGTTTAAAGACTTCAGGGTGCAGAGAATCCTCCAGCAAGTGACCTGTGCCCCACGCTGCAGAGAAAGGTGAAAACCCCCCAGGGCTTCTGCCAATCTGTCCTGGAGGAAAATTCCTTTCTGACCCCAAATATGGCGATCAGCTAAACCCTGAGCATGTGAGCAAGACTCACCAGCCAGACACCCAGGAAAGAATTCTCTGTAGTAACTCAGATCCCACCCTATCTAGTGTCCCATCACAGGCCATTGGATATATTTACCACTAATAGTCAAAGATCAATTACTTGCCAAAATTAGGCTATCCCATCATACCATCCCCTCCATAAACTTATCAAGCTTAGTCTTGAAGCCAGATATGTCTTTTGCCTCCACTGCTCCCCTTAGAACTTCACTCCTCTGATGTTTAGAAACCTTCATCTAATTTCAAGTCTAAACTTCCTGATGGCTAGTTTATATGGCTCAGGCTATGGTGCTAAAACTAGCTGTGTAGCATAAACCCCTCACTTTGCTTCAGAGCCACAGCTCGAGCCTGAGCCCAAAGGGCCACTCAGCTGTTTTTAGTGCCGTAGTGCAAGCCTGAATCTGTCAACCCAGGCTCTGAGACTTTCTGCCACTTGCTGTG